GCATTCTACTTCCATTTGTACATTCGTAGTGGCGTTTGAATGCGATGTGGCCTATACAATGACTTGCGGGGGCCAGCCGATGTACAAGTCAGTGTTTTTATCCTCCCAGACAAGTCTGGTACCAATTAACCGACCCCGGAGGGATGGAAGGCTTGGTTGGCCCGGGCGACTCACGACCCAGGATTTGATCCCCGGACCGCTCGCGTGGTAAGCGTGCCACTTGCCACTACACCACTTCCGCCCTCGCCCAATCTACTACTCTCCAGCGATTTCAATCGATACGTATCCAATCTTGTCAGCGCAATCTCCTACTCTACTACTATCCTAATCTCCCGAGTCGCGAACTATGAACGCGACCTCATCAATGCAAGCCATATGGGCTGCCAGTTACGCGTGCTTGTAGGACGATGGCAGCCCATATGGCCTGCCAGCAAATAATTTCTGCCATCCACTAATATCATAGTTTTGTTGCACATTTCCGATAACAGTGAAATATTTAGGGAATAATGTATAACTCATGGTCCCAGTAAGAATAGATATACTTTGGTTTAGACAAGTTTTTTTTTGGGCCGTACGAAATTTTTGGTTCGTTTAATTCTTTTTCTTTGTACTCCCACGAACATGTGAATGAAAAGTTTCAGAAATTAATACAAAGCTCTATGAATGTTAAGCTACGCGTTTCTGCTGAAAAAATCGGTGCGAAAATGCAAAGCCCATTGCGACGAATGTTGATAAATTTTGTGTTTTCAATACAATCGCATGTCATTTTGACCGAAATTCCACTACGATACCCTCTTATCACGTTACGTATTGACCATCGCTCAAATTACTTCGTGAAATTAAAGTTTTTGTTCATTTGGTACTTCACGAAATCCATAGATTTGAGATGGGGCGGAGGCGCTCCCAAAATCGCGCTCCGTCCTACGCGACAAAAGAGAAGAACGCGCATCGTTGTGGATGTGTTAATGGAAAAGACCCAAGATTTTCCTCTAATGGGGATATACCTCCAAAATTAGAGATTGGAACCCACCCAAGGATGGAGATTTATCTCAAGCCCGGACAAATGTTGCAGTGGTGGCACGCGTTGGCTGCACTTGCACGAAGGACGCCGTATCGAACGTCAGCGCTGCATTGTGCGTTGTCGTGTGGTGTTTGCCTTTTGTATTTCTTTGTGCTTGCCAGCATGAGGTGTTTTCTTCCTTTTTTATTGTAATTTCTCTCTCTGCTTATCAAAGTGTCAAGTTAAAATAGCTCGCTGTGTCAACAAGTCGCGAAAGTAGCTGTTTCCATCAGCCATCTTTCTCAATCATAAATCCTTATTGATTCGTAGTTATTTTGGGTCTCATCCAGTAAGGGGGGCATCAAGTGGCTGCCCTCACCCCCCACCCCCTAGACTGCCTACACTCCCCCTGGCGCACAGGTTTCTCGAAGTACGGGACCCCGTGAGCCAGGGGGAGTGAAGCCAGTCAGGGGGTGGGGAGGGCAGCCACTTGACGTTGCATCACAATGCCCCCCCCTTTACTGGATGAGACCCTATTTTTCTTGATTTATTCTCATCACACCTTCCAATGATCGGGCCAGTCCCCACCCCTTACCCATGTGAAGTTCTCTCCCTAGTTCTCTGTTCAACACAATTCACAACGACCGATATTTTGCTTCTTGTTTCGGCTCCACGATTCCATATTGATCAGTTTCTTTTCTAGACATCGGTTTCCCCGTTTCGGCTGCGTATGCGTGCAGGTGAGTCTTATACCGTGTGAGCCAGAGAGGAAGCGTTCCCATAGCTCTGTGAGCTTTGAATCCTTCGATAAAACACTTCTATACGCTCCCAGGGCCTCTATGCGACACGGATAGACCTACGTCGCCAGACAGCAGAGTTTGATGGTAGTCCATAGAAAAGGATAAAAAGGATAAAGCATTTGCCGTTGATCAATCCCTTTTTGGGATGCGGCACGCATTCTCCTTCCATTTGTACATTCGTAGTGGCGTTTGAATGCGATGTGGCCTATACAATGACTTGCGGGGGCCAGCCGATGTACAAGTCAGTGTTTTTATCCTCCCAGACAAGTCTGGTACCAATTAACCGACCCCGGAGGGATGGAAGGCTTGGTTGGCCCGGGCGACTCACGACCCAGGATTTGATCCCGGACCGACCGCTCGCGTGGTAAGCGTGCCACTTGCCACTACACCACTTCCGCCCAAAGCGGAATAAAAAAATCAGAGCGGTAATAAGCTACCAACAAAAACTCAAGCTGAGCCATGACAAATGATCCCTTCTGTAACAACAATTGTTCCATTACCCATTTTGCTAACGCAAAGCGCGAATGTTTCTTTTTCCCCCAGCCCTCAAACGTGACATTCTGCAAATACCCCACGTTGCTTTCACTACAACACTTTGTCTGATAATCTGATCACTTTGCTACATTGTATTTGATAAGATGTGATTGCGTTTTTTTTAATCTTTCGACTGATTTCACTGAAGGAAGAACTTTTTTAAGAATGTTTATATTGCAGTTATTTCTGTCTTCACGTAACTGAGATAGTCAAGTGAAGAGTCGTGCTTAGTGTAATGGTTATGGTTGGCTCGTCCGATATTCCAGAACAGGTCGTTAGTCTCAATGTCGGTGGGCAGCGATTTGCCACTAGCTCTCATACACTCACATGGATTCCGGATTCCTTTTTCACCAGGTCCGTGGTTATGCAGAGGTTCTGGATGTGTATTGTTGTATGCATTTTTTTCTTTTCACGTTACTGTACTGTCACTTCTTTTACGATTTTCAGCCTTCTGAGTGGAAGAATACCAACTGTACGCGATGACAGCGGAGCAATATTCATTGATAGAGACCCAGACGTATTTCGTATCATTCTCAACTACCTTCGTACGAAACAGGTGGATTTGAGGTATGCAGACAGTTAGTTACTTCGGACGGATAATGGCTAATAGCTATTAGCCGGTATTTGGTGTCTGAGTAGAGTTGCTTCTGTAGACGTTGATAATTTTAATCCTTGAAAAGTGGCGGACATTTGCATTTCCAGCAATATAGCACCGAGCACATTGAAGCACGAAGCGCAATATTTCGGCTTAGCGCCGCTGGTGCGACGATTAACGTTGTGTGAAGAACTAGATGTGTCCTCCTGTGGAACGGTCCTTTTTCATGCGATGATTCCCGCTCCAAACCTCCCATTTGAACGATCCGTAGTTGAAAGAAAGGTTAGAACATCTGGGTCTTATTTCTACATCAACGTGCTAAGAACCATATGATCGCTTCTTGCAGTAGCATCAAAGCAATTGTTTTTATTTGCAGGCGCAGAACTGCACATCTTCTTCTTCTGAGAATGGATCACAACCATCTAGCACAGGTGAGTGGTGGTGTCGTGGATTCTTTGTTCCTGTTACTCCACAATTTATATTATAATTTGAATTAAGATGTTTCAAAGTCTTCGACAAATACTGATACAACGACTTGTGGGTGTTTGAGCAAGACCGCGGCGGCATCTGGTGGATCTGTGATCCCGGAGAGAGCTGATGGATGGTATTCAAGACATGGAAGCGGGCACAGCACACCAAGAGTATATGGGCATTGCAAGAAGAGTTCATATGAACTCGCCAGATATGTGAGTGATAGTGTTTCAGGATATGTGGAGAACTGTTAACGAAGACTTTTCAAAAATTCGATGTTTTGTTTTGTTGTTCCAGATTCGCAACGAATTAACTCATTTGAAGCATCAGTCACGGGTTCAGTCCGAGGATGAACCAGATCCATTGCGTGTGCGCATAGTGAGGGCTCATCACAATTCAATTATTGTCGCTTACGCGTATTATGCTTGTGTTTATCGGTGGGTTCTTACTGTTTCTTGAATTTTGTGTAAATATTGGAATCACGACAATCCTTTAAATCCAATATTTAGCCAGACTGGCGCAATGTGGCTCCGTGAGGGGCAGCGGGAAACTTGGCCGGCGTCAGATTCACGGGTATGCCCAGTTTTGGGACTAAGCTTAGGAGGAGAAGAGGGAATCCGAGCTGCGTAAGCAATTTTCATTCGCTCCGGAATTCGTCCCTCTGCGTTAGGCTTAGTCCTAGCGGCCTTCCGATAGACTGGCCCTGGAGGCACATTGCGCCGCCAGACTTGGCACCTGTGCTCCTTCTAGTGCAATGAAAGCTTTTGTAAAGTAAACTATTGTTACCTTGCAGAATGAAGGAGTCTCTTGGTTGGCAAAGCGTATATAGCACGCCTCGTATGGAATCGCTAATCAGACACGTAGCACTCAACACGAAGTTTGGTCCTCAGGTTGGTCTGGACGAATCATCCGATTATGACTGATCCAAGAGCTGCCTTTATTTAGAATATCAATTCATTTAGAATACAGACAGAATGGTGGCTGTGGCTTTGGCAAATGGAAACATACTTTTGTGGTCCCTCGAGGAAGGTGATACTGCCGTGAAAATCGGTATGTCGGTGAAGGCGATATGGTGTTGCGGTACAGTTGACCTCACTTTGATTCTTTAGGAACATTTTCCTTGTCTGTTGCTGTGGATAAACTCTTCTTTATCGGCAGTCAAATGGTTGCTCTAAGTCGTACAGGAAAAGTAGGCATTTGGCATTCAATGACGCATAACTGGCAGGTCCAAGGTGAGGCTTTTATAGAAATATCTCTTCGTTATCCGAGATTGACAATGTTCTCCGAAAGGATTTCGCGTGCTTCCAACCGGACATCTGGTACAATAGGAGCCCTATACTGTTTGTATGCTGCGAATAAGCGCGTTCCATGTTTACTGCACATTAACCACTTCATGAACTGAGCTCGTATCCTATTAAAAAGCCCTTAAAAAAGTGTTTCATATGCGAATCGAATTCTTATGTCTTCTTTTCATTTCCAATCTATCACTTATTCTCCAAATAAAGCAAGTACTATATATTTCAGACGTTGTTGCCATATCGTGTTACGACACCGCTGGGTCATCTCTTCTGCTGGGTTGCACAAACGGTTCTATGTATTATATAGACATGCAGAAATTCCCATTAAGGTCAGATTTGCTTTGATTCTCTCACCGTTCATGTCGTATTGTCTTATTTTGCCGTGCTATTTTAATGCCATGTTTTTCGTTCGGTGAATTTTTCGATTGAAGGATGAAAGACAACGATTTGCTGGTGACTGAACTTTACAAGGACCCGAACGGTGATGGTATCACTTCAATCAGCGTTTATTTGACGCCGAAAACGAGTAAGTACAAATCTTAGGAACTGCCTTCATCTCCCTAAGCAGTGCTGGAAAACAAGTTGTGAGATCGAGTTGTATAGACGTCATTTTTTATTGATTTATAGATGTGTGCGGCAATTGGATCGAAATCGCTTATGGAACATCATCGGGTGCTGTTCGTGTTATTGTTCAACACCCGGAAACTGTCGGACATGGACCACAGTTGTTCCAGACGTATACCGTTCACAATTCTCCGGTTACACGAGTCACACTGAGTACAAATCACCTAATCAGCGGTGGGTCTTTTCACACATCACTCGGAGACGCACAAAAGTCATGTCGTGTTAATTGAATCCGAGCACGTTCGCACTTATAAGGCTTTGGGGTCTTGTTCGTCGTATTTCTACTGGTTGAAATTGTTTTATGTTCAGTGTGTTCGGAATACAACCACGTACGGTCATGGATGGTGACACGGTTTCGTGGTATGATCAGTACACAACCGGGCAGCACTAGTCTTGCATCATTCAAAGTTCTAACCTTGGATTCTACGGACGATTCGGTGGATCGAGACTACGCTGATCCTGGTATACCTTTTAGT